GCTCCGTTTCGAGTCTTCAAACAACATATTGAAGATTCTCTCATTCAAATGCTTTCAAAGACAGATTTTAAAAATGTAGAACGCCGCTCTTTTATCCCTTCAGCTCTGCAATTAAAGTTAGGGGTGTACATGGGTCGGGTGGTTCGGGTTTAGTCATTTTAATCACCCGACCCATGCACTATGGTTTGGAAAATATCAAACCCAAACCCACCCAAAAAAATTTAAACCCTACGGTTTGTTTCTAATTGGGTTGGGTCGGGTTGGCGATATTTTTAAGTAAAAACCCAACCCAACATAAAATATATAATTATTCTACATCATAAAAATATTTTATAACTAATTAAAATTTCAAACGAATGAACCAAGGTGAAAGGTATGAAAATTCACAAATGTTGTTTAAATTTTAATAAAATATAATTTACTTCAACATATGTCTTGTTTTTTCACGATATTTGTTGAAATAGGCGAAAAATGTTATAAACAAACGCATCCATCATATGTTATTCTATTAAAATTGTACACAACAAAAAGGATTACGTGAATCATAACTATAGAGAAATTTTACAATGTTATATAGTATTGGTGCTATAGGTTTTTGCCTTTATGGTACAACTTAAAATAGTACATTTACGTTATGGTACAACTTTAGATTGTACATATACTTTTTGTACAAATTCTTTTATGGTACAACTTGAACTTGTACCTTTATGTGATGGTACAACTTCAAGTTGTAAAGTTGAACCATAACATAATGGTACAAATTGCTTTATGGTACAATCTAAACTTATACATTTAATGTTATGGTACAACTTTGAGTTGTACATTAAAGCACCAATGCTATATAGCATAGTAGAAGTGCTCCATAACTATATTCAATTTATGTCTAAACTTTAAGTCGAAGAATGCATTAGATTAGGGAGACCATGAGAGAAAAACATGGCGAAATATCTTAATTTTCTCATTAGTATATGACTATATACTACATAAATATTTTTTAGATTCAAACTCATACTAATAGTTGGAACACGGGTTGGGTCGGGTTCTACGGGTTGTGTAATCCAAAATCCAAACCCAACCCTAAAGAGGCGGGTTGTACAAAAGAAAACGCTCACCCAACCCAAAACCTTCGTTTTAGCGGTAAATACGAGTGGGTTGGGTCGGGTTGGACGGGTGGGTCGGTTTGCGGGTGTGTTTGTTCACCCCTAATTAAAGTCCAATGAAAAATCCCAGCTCCGTACCAGAACTCAGTTGAATAGGAGTGATGGAAATTAGCATGTAAATCTTGATCGGCTATGTTTCGGGTCTTCGAGCACCAGATTGACGACTCTCCCATTCAAATGATTTCAAAGACGGATTGAAAAATGTTGAACCTAACTCTTTGTCCCTTCAGCTCTGCAATTACGCTGGAAATCTTCCTCTAACGCTCCGAAGTCACACATGTAAAGAAGTAAAACTGAGAGTTGTGGATATCAATTTTTAATATGCTTTGGATTGAATGGGGAAATAGCACAAACACCTGGGGGCTGGGACTCAAGTGGTGGAAAATCATCACCTCTGCTCCATTCACCTTATTCACACTCTATGGGTATCTAGCATTCTAGCTAATGCAATAAGGGATTTTGGGATGACTATGAGAGAGGACATACAAATATTGGGTTACAAGTAAAAGGACAAGGGAAGACAAGCGGCTGAGGTGGGGACAGCATACGGTGACAACCCCTTTGGGGGTTGTCAGATTCACAACCAATGGTATTTTGGATATAAAAAAAATGAATATATTAATTATCTTTTTTGTATTAATTATATTGGGAATTAAATACCCATATTAAATACAATTTTTTTTCTGAAATTTAAATCCTATACATTAATATCTCTATCTATCTCTCTCTCTCTCTCTTCCTTTCTCCAGCAGCCACTCCGCATCGACCGACAAACTTTTTCTCCGGCGAATTCTCTCCGGCAGACTCCCTCCGACAACCTGAAAAAATGTACCAATGCGTTAAAAAGTGTATCAATCTATTAGTCTACTGGTAATTAATATACCAGTGCTAGTGGTACGCTACCAGTACGTTAAAAAATATACCAGTAATAGCGGTACCAGTAAAAAATGTACCAGTACTAGTGGTACGCTACCAGTACAACGCTACCAGTAGAGAATAACACAACGCTACTAGCATTGGTAGCGCTACCACTAGCATTGGTAGCGGTACCAGTAGAGAATAACACACAAAAAACAAAAAAAACAGATGATAGTGGTACCAGATGATAGGGGAGCCACTGGTATTGGTACCAGTGATTAGTGGTAACGTACCAATAGCGCTACCAGTGGTATTGGTACCAATAGTGCTACCAGTGGTATTTGTACTAATAATGCTACCAGTGGTATTGGTACCAGTAGAGACTATCAGATCTGGAAAAAAAAATAGGGATGAGGAAAGAGGGAGGCAGGGAAGAGTCTTGACCTCGCGGCGGCGGGGCAGGGGAGGACAGCGGCGAGCGCGGGGCGCGGGGGGAGGACAGCGGCGCGGCGGGAGGACAGTGGCGCGGCATGGCGGCGGGGATAGCAGGCGCGGTGGTGGGAGGGCTGTGGTGGCGGAGAGAGGTGGAGGAGAGACGGTGATGTCTACGGGAGAGAGGGAGGAGAGAGAGAGGGAGGATGGAGGAGTTAGGGTTTTTGTTCTTTTTATATGGTAGGGTGAATGATTGGGTGTGGTAAATTTTTACCCTTCCAAAAATATCCTTCCTTTAATCTTAACCGTTAATTTAAAAAAAGAAGAAAGAGACAGGAGAGAGAGCGTATCCAAAGGCTATGAAGTGGGTTGTGAATCTGACAACCCCTAAGGGGGTTGTCACCGTATCTCGTCCCGCTGAGGTGCATTTGCTGCATGCATGCTTTGAATGCTACACGTGTAATAACAAAAGTACATTGTTGCTAGGCTATTACTTCCGAACTTGGTATCAGGAACAGGAAGGTCAAGTTATAGTGAGAATTATTGGGGTTTACAAAAAGAGAAAGCTAACTAATGGTAATCGATAATTTGTGGTTCACAAACGAAATAACTAATTACTTATTGACAATTGGGGAAAAGGAAGTTATGAATTGAGAGTGGATTAAGAATTGTGATATCGTATGAGAGATTGAGTCGAAAAAATCAGTAATAGAGATTTATGTTCAAATCGTTGTTTAATCATGATGATAAGATATGATTTCATAAATATATGTATTGAAATATGATACAACCTCCGTGTTCATCTTATCCACATGAAAGGATGCTAATTTTTGGTTATAGTGGCTTATTAATGCATAACAACAACATGAGGGAAAATAATGTGAATTAGTAAAATTTGATTTTATTATTACATCACACATTTTAAAATATTTATGTAATAACGTTTTATAACAGTTCATTAAGAAAAAAATAGAATATTATTTCTCCATGGGTACCATTCACAATGGATTTTATCTCATATACTCAATTTTACAATAATCCCTTTTTTTCTCTTTTTAACAATACTATTCATATGAGTTCTATCCCCTTCAACCAATTCTACGATAAGTCTAAAACTCCTAGGAAATTCTACGACAAGTCTATTTCTCTACATCCAACTTAACATTATATAAAAATTTCGTACATCAGTTATTGAATATATAATTATTAACTTAAACTCCTTTATGTTTAATGTTTATTACTAAATAATATAAATAGTGTTTAATTATCTCTTTATAATTAACCAAAATTCCATTATTGTTATTTACCAAAATAAAAATTCCATTGTTGTTAACTACATATTTGACATGTCATCAATTTGCATTATGGAAGATTGTTATCTTCGACATGACATGTTTAATCAAAGTTACTTTCTAAATTTTGATTTTATTATTAGACCATGCATTATAAAAGATTTATGTATCAACGTAGTTCTTTATCTTATACATCATATTACCATAAGCTCTTTATTAGTTAAATTTGAAATAACAGTTTAATCATATGTTACTTTCTAAAATATTACTTTATGATTAGACCACACATCATGAAATATTTATGTAACAAAATTCTATAACAATTACATATTTAAAAAATTTTATCAATGTTATTTACTATAATTTGATTTTATTATTAGACCACACATTATGAAAGATTTATCTAATAACGTACTATAACTATTACATGATTTTTCCTTAATGATTAAGACACTACGTAAATTTTATGGACAAATAATCATATTATATGTATCAATTTTAAATAATAATATGTAAGTTTTCCATAATGATTAAACACTACTTAAAACTTATGTAGAAATAGTTATTTACTATATATTAAGACTTTACATGAATTTTATATATGTAGAAAAAATATCACTTAAGCAAACGGATGATGTATGTTATTTATAATGATTAAGACATTATGTTATTTATAATTCATTAGTTTTTTTATCGCGGCGGAGCGCGGGCCAAGAATCTATTTTCAATTTATACTTCTAAAACCAAATTTTAAAGCATACTACAATAAGTCAATAACTCACTTTACCAACCCTACATCATTGTGCCAAACCTGTAAATACCAAAATAAAGTTCCTTTCACCAAATAAATAAATAAAGCCCCTTAATGGTAATTAGTAACTAAGCAGCACACTACTACTAAACCACCAATTTAATCATATTGTCTAGTGTCTACAGTGTGGTGATGATGATTTTTATCAGTCCTTGTTAGGTAGTAAAAGCTGCTCTGCTTTCCTCCCATTGTTTCAGCCTTATGCTAACTGCTAAGGCTGCACCTCTGTTCCTTTTTTCAATCCATTGTACTCTTTAAATTATAATTTTTTTTCTATTAAATGATGTCAATCTTATAAAAAAAAATTAATTATATTAATAATTTGGAGTTATACTGAAAATTTATTTTAGATGTCTTCTATATTATTCTTCAAGAATATTGTACTACCAGCAGCATAATGATGATTTTACTTGTACCCCATACTGACACAGCACGAGCTAGCTAGCAGATGCCTTACCTCTCTCTCTTTGTTTAATAAACCTACTGCTCCTTCCTAGCTACAACTTCATCATCATCGAAATCTCAAATGGAATGCCCCAGTCTCGCCATTTTCTTGCTCCTCCTAGTCCTAGTAGCACCCATTAATCATCATCATCCGTATTTCTCCATCGTCGTCGTCTCGTCACCAGCAGCTGATACTGATAGTTTGAACCGCACCAGTTTCCCGACGGGCTTCGTCTTCGGAGCCGCCTCAAGCGCCTACCAGGTACACCAGCAACTCATCCACCAACATTCCTCTGTTTTTTCCCCCCCGGTTAGAACCTACGCTTGAACTGCGCTCCGACATTTCATCAGTATGAAGGAGCAGCAAATGTTGATGGCAGGGGACCAAGCATATGGGACACTTTCACTAACAAATACCCAGGAAGGATAGATGATGGCAGCAACGGAGACAGAGGAGTGGATTTCTATTTTCGCTATAAGGTATGAACCCAGGCTAAACCCTCCTAACCCGGAATTAAATTCTGAAGTTTCCGTGATTGTTTAGTAACCTTCGTCAATTCAGGAAGACGTCAAGCTCGTAAAGGACATGAATATGGACGCTTTCAGGATCTCCATCTCATGGTCTAGAGTATTACCCGGTAGAACAGAGTAGTACTCACTCTGTTTTTTCCCCTGTTTCATTTCTCATTTTATTTTTGTGACCCAATTCCTTCTTCTTTTGTCGTTTTTCTCTCTCCGTAGCTGGAAGGATCAGCGGGGGAGTGAATGAAAAAGGGATCATGTTTTACCACCGCCTTATCGACGAGCTTCTTTCCAACGGTCGTGACACTCCTCTCTTAACTACTATGGATTTTTTTTCGTTCTTTCTAAAAGTACACATGTTTATACATGATCGTGTTCGACGTAAGCGATCTACGTTAAAATCGTCCGATGAATGGTAAATCACGTTAAAGAATAGTGATGATAACTAACTCGTTTTCATGTAAAGCGATCAAAATGAAAATTGCGTAAATATCGTGTTCGAATTTGTAACCAGTGATTTTAATTTACTCATCTGCGATCATAATTCGCCACGAGGATAGGTTTACTTGTAGCGGGCTGACATGATTGCTTGCGTCGAACGTGATCGCTTTGCCCTAAAGCGATCAATGTCCAATCTGATTACAAATAAAATTACGATCCTTCCATCCCATTTCACTCTCATTTCTCCTTTTCTCCACCACACTTGCAGAAACTTCCCTCTTCTTCACCATACTTGCAGAAAATCCCACGGCCACACCAGAACTCCATTCCGTCATTCTGACTATAAGCTATGTCTGAATTTGTTTAGTATGGTCATGTTTAAGTAGTCATATGTGTTTGTGCTTCACTAATTATGTTTAGTGCGAATTATGCAAAGTATTCGGATTAAAGATAAATGTATGATGGATTATAGTTCTGGATGTTCTATGTGATCGTTAGTTATTTTAAAATGCAGACATGAGTAGTTTCAAAAGTTCCAGCTTCTTATTCGGTAGAATGGTCGTGTGATAAACTCCCACAAAGGGATCGGTTATGAAGATGGTCAATCCAGTAGGTTGAAAATTGAGACTAGATTCACGTGGCAATAACTCTATGACATTTGTGCAGAGCGTATATGTATTGGAGTAGATAAGAGTTTGTAAAATTACTTACCGATATTCAAACATCAGTGGAGGCGGTGTCATGTACGAAGAAGTTGTCAAACCTAACAATGATGGGGTTAGCATGATGCTGGACTTCCTAGCTGACAACAAGATCGAGCATGCAGAGGTGTATGTTGAGATCGAGTTTGTCAGTCAGGGTGGAGCCAATTACGGATATGATGGTGGTGAATCCTCTTATCACCATCATTCTTATGGTGATGGTGTTGCGAGAGGGTACAAATAGGGGCACCATGGGAAGATACTCCTCATCGTGTTAATTCTGTTCAGCCTGCCCCATTTGTTGAGTCAAATGTCGTTCGATTGCCGAATTGGGATCCACAATGGGCTGACATCGAAAATACCATTTGAGCATCCAGGTGATCTCCACTTAATAGAGATGATGATGTTGGCGGTGATGGTCACGAGGATCCCACTAATGAGATGCACAGTTATCAACTCGAAAATGACGAGGATAGTGAAGATTTTAGATATGTGAGTCATCTAGAGAATATAGACCATGAGGTCGGGTACGGGAGCCACCTACTCTGTACTATACAAACATCCCTACTCATCATTTATATGCTCATAGTGAAGATCCTGACTTTCTCCCTATGCTAGTGTGGACTCCGACATCCGATTTGGAGGTGTGAATGGCATTTCTCACCTAGGATGTTGTTGGTGATGCTTTAGAGAAGAAGACATGTGACAAAATTTTGAGTGGAAGTTTAAATTTTCTGACAAAAAACAACTCCATGTCATATGCAAGAATGGTACAGACGGATGTCAGTGGGAGCTTTGAGCTGCATGGATGAAGAAAAAGGGTGCTTGGGTAATTCGCACAGTGAGAACAACCACAACTTCTCCTCGTCCATACTTTCCTAGGACCACCCCCAACTGAATGCGAAGAAAGTGAGTTGCACTATTAAGCACTTGTTATAGGCATAACCAGATATCACCATCAAAGCTATCATGGCCGAGGTGAAAGATCGTCATTCTTACACAGTCAGGTACAAGAAGGTATGACATGGAAATCAAAAGGCTATGGCTGACGTGTATGGCGATTGGGATGACTCATAAGCTCTCCTAGCTGGATTGATGGCTACGATGGAGGAGTCTAACCCTGGGACTGTTTTCCTGTCGTAGTACAACACTGTAGAAAATGAGGACCAAGTACGGGTTCAAAATGAGCTGATGTTTCACCGTTTATTTTGATCATTCAAGTCATGCACTGATGGGTTCTCTTTCTTCCTTCCAGTGATCCAAGTAGATGGCAACTTCTATGTACTTTTCAGAAAGGAAGGTGCCATCAACTTGGATAACTGGAAGGCAGAAAGAGAACCCATCAATACATGGCTTGAATGACCAAAATAGACGGTGAAACATCAGCTCATTTGAACCCGTACTTGGTCCTCATTTTCTACATTGTTGTAACACGGCACGAAAACCGTCTCGGGGTTAGACTCCTCCATTGTAGCAATCAGTCTAGGAAGGAGGACGTATGAATCGTCCTAATCGCCATACACGTGAACCATGATCTTTTGCTTTCCATGCCATGCCTTCTTGTACCTGATTGTGTAGGGATGACATTCTTTGACCTCGAACATAATAGCTTTGATGGTGATGTTTGGTTGTGCCTCCATCAAGTGCTTAATAGTGGCACTCACTTTCTTTGCATTAAGTTGGCGGTGATCCTGGGAAAGTATGGACGAGGAGTAGTTTAGTTGTTCTGCACCGTGTGAATTACCCAACACCATTTTTTATCCATGTAACTCGAAACTCCTATTGACATCTCCAGGATTCTTGCAGATGACATGGAGTTGTTTTTGGTCAAAATATTTGACCTTCCTCTCAACATTCCTCCTCATAGCTTATTCTCTAAAAGCATTATCAACATCATCTTTGGTGGGGAAGTGTCATTCCCACCTCTAAATCAGCCGTCAAATTCCATAATGACATGAGGCGAAAGTCGGGATCTTCGTTATGAGCATATAAGGGATGAATAGGGATATTTGTGTAGTATGGAGTTGGTGGATCCCGGACCCCCTCCCTCATCTTCCGTGTTCTCTTCCTCACTCATAGATCTCAAATCTTCTTCATTATCCTCATCGTTTCGTATGGATAACTCAATATCTCGGCAGTGGGATCCTCGTGACCATCACTGCCAACATCATCTCGATTATGTGGAGATCGCATGGATACTCTTATGGAATTTTCAATATGAGTCAATTCTGGACTCCATGTTGGCCAACAAACGCCATCAGACTCAACAAATGGAGCAAGCTCAATAGAATTAACACGATGAAAGCATATTCCCATGGTACCCCCATCTCCCACATAACCACCCATCTATGCTCTCATGCAACACCATCACCATAGGAATGGTTGCGATAAGAGGATTCACTGCCATCATATCCATAACTGGCTCTACTCTGACCGACAACGTCGGTCTCAACATACCTCTGGAAGCTCGATCTTGTTTTCAGCTAGGAAATCCCTCATCATGTTAACCCCATCATTGTCGGTATGACAACTCCTTTGTACATGACACCACCTCCATTGATGTTTGGATATCGGTAAGTAATTTTACAAACTCTTGTCTGCCACCCACCCCCCTCATTCAAATCTTATCTGCACAAATATCATAGAGTTCTTGTCACGTGAATCTGGTCTAAATTTTCAACCTATTGGATTCACCATCTTCATAATTGATCCCTTTGTGGGAGTTTGTCACTGATCATTCCATTGAATAAGAAGATGGAACTTTCAAAATTTACTCATGTCTGCAATTTAAAATAACAAACGATCACATACAACATCCAATACCATAATCCATCATACATTCAGCTTTAATCTGAATATTTAGCATATTTTACACTAAGCATAATTAGTGAAGAACAATTACATAACTACTTAAACATGATCGTACTAAACAAATTTAGATATACCTTGACGGAATGGAGTTTTGGTGCGACTGTGAGATTTTCTACAAGTTGGATGGAGAAAAGGGAAAATAAGAGTGAAATGGGATGGGAGGATTGTAATTTTATTTAGAATCATATCGGACCTTGATCGTTGTAGGGCAAAGCGATTTAGCCAAGATCACGTTCAACGTAAGCGATCATGCCTAGGCAGTTACACCTAACCCTATCCTCGTGATGAATTATGATCGCGAATGAGTGAAGCGATTTTGAATGATCACTTTTAGCTAAAGCGATCAAGGTGTTCACCCGTCCATCCACACAAAAACATATGCACCTTACCCTATCCTTGTGGTAAATTAAAATCGTTGGTTACCAAAGCGATTTAACGTTGATCGCTTCCAACGAAAGCGATTAGTTGGATTGCTTTATTCGAACTCTATTATTACGCGATTTTCAGTTTGATCAATTTACATGGAAGCGATTTAGTTATCATCGCTTTTCTTGAACGCGATTTACCATTCATTACGTTTTACTATAGTGATTTTAATGTAGATCGTGCGTAGAACGCGACCATGCATAAACATGTGTACTTTAGTAAATTTTATAAAAACTATTGTATTTTCGAATTTTTTTTAGGGATTATATCACTGGGAAACCTGAACTATCAAAAAACAGTTATTTGTATTCCGAACTATTCAATATTCCATTTATATCCCAACGTATGATAGTGTGTCATTTATGTCATGAAGATTTCGTTAACCGCTATAGATAACAGTTTACCATTCGGCGGCCAATTTGATGTTGATTTAGGAGCGAAATCGACTGAGCGATTAAGACAATTTGGGAATTTTAGTAATATTTTTTTCTATTTTCTAATTTTAATCATTTTAGATGAAAATACAAATAAATATTTATATTTAAAAATCTATATCAGATGTCACGTCGACACTAACTAAATTTTATGTTAAATATTGACGATCAAACTCAGTCAACACTAACGGAAAAATAATTCAGAACATAAATGTCATATTGAATAGTTCGATACACAAGTGACACTTTCTTGATAGTTTGGATTTCCCGATGGTGTCGGCCTTTCTTTTTTTTAAGAACTTTTGGTACATAGGGGAAAAAATCCTAACTATTACATTCACATCGAAGCAAAAGTTGCATTCTGAAAAACTGAACTGATCGAAGCAGCTAACACAATATCAGCTACTCATCGATGAATGCATACAGGTATTGAGCCTTTTGTGACCATCCTTCACCTTGATCTCCCCCAAGCTCTGGAAGAAGAGTACGGTGGCTTCTTAAGTCCGCTCATTGTGTACGTGACAACCATATCGATCCTGTGTATAACCAACTTGTCAAATGTATATGTTCTTGATGTGGCCGCCGGTACGTACGTACGTATACTTCAGTGATGATTACAGGGGATTCGCGGAGCTCTGTTTTCGAGAGTATGGTGGGAAAGTGAAGAAGTGGATTACAATCAACGAGCCATGGACGATGAGCAGCTATGGTTATGATGAAGGGATTTTCGCCCCCGGTCGATGTTCACAGTGGGTCAACCCAGCCTGCGAAGCAGGGGACTCTGCTACTGAGCCTTACATTGTTTCCCATCACGCCCTCCTTTCCCATGCCTCTGCCGTCAACCTTTACCGACAGAAATTCCAAGTAATTTCTTCTTTCTTTATCCCATTTTGATCCTCAAAAACAATGATTAACGTGAAATTTCAGCAGTGGCAGAATGGAGAGATTGGGATAGCGCTGAATTGTTTTTGGATGGTACCTTACTCTGACTCGATAGTCGATCAGGCTGCAGCAAGAAGAGCGGTGGATTTCATGTTTGGCTGGTGAGAAAATTATACTATGGAAGTAAAAGGATACAGACTTCGTCATCCTTGTTTCATTTTCTGTGTGTTGTTGGGCAGGCATATGGAACCCATAACCTACGGGAGATATCCCAAGAGCATGGAAGCTAATGTTGGGGAGAGGTTGCCAAAGTTCACCAAGGAACAGTCGTCGAACCTAATCGGATCGTACGATTTCGTCGGCATTAACTACTACACTACATTTTACGCGATCCATAACAGCATTGGAAGCAAGAGTGGGCTCAGGTACAAGACAGATTCCCTTGCTGAATGGAGATGTAAGTGTCAATCACTGTTAAAAATAGTGTCACTAATTATCATCTCTCGTATTAAGCTCTTTCGATTTGTAGTTAACCAACTATCTTTCCCCTGTATCTTACTGATAAATGCAGCAGAGAAAGATGGTGTTCCCATTGGTCCTCAGGTAAGTACTATTGCCAGTTGTATAATTAACTCATTACATAATGCTTAATGAAAGTGTTGGTTGTGGTCAGGGTGCATCATTTTGGTTGAATGTGTATCCAGAAGGAATTCGAGATCTGATGAATCACCTCAAACACAAATACAACAATCCGCCTGTTTATATAACCGAGAATGGTATAGCTACAACAAACTTGTGGTGTAGTTCGATATTATGTCAAGTTTGTTTGAATGAGTATATAAATTTTATGGTTGTAGGTCTTGATGAAGTGACACAGGGGATTACAATGGAAGAATCCCTCCAAAATCCTGATAGAACACAATATATCAAAGCACATCTTCACCAACTTCAGAAAGCCATCTAGTGAGTGTGGCCTATATCTGCATATATACTTTTCATCTTTCATTCATTTCACTGATTATCCACCTCTTGTTGTTTGGCATTCTGGTTCTGATTCATGCAGTGAGGATGGCGCCAACATAAGAGGGTATTTTGCGTGGTCGTTACTCGACAATTATGAGTGGTCCAGCGGCTATACAGTGAGGTTTGGACTTCACTATGTTGATTATCAGAATGGGATGAAGCGTGAACCCAAGCACTCTGCCAAATGGTTTGCAGACTTCCTGCTACATCCCAACCACACCACCACCACGGACAAACGCCATCTCTGCCTCAAGCTACATCACGAATCATCGCCATCTTTCTAACCTGCCATTCCTGTGTACCCTAGCTTGGACCCTCTGTAAGGTGACTGGTGAAGAGCAAGCATTCTACAGTTATAGAAATGCTCTTTCTTCACAAACAAGAAACATCAACCATGCTACATCAGTACTTTTGTTCATAATACGGTGAATCAATCAGACGAGTGTGGCATATTCTCATTGCAGTAGGAACAAGAGGCTCATACAAATGTCATACATAAACGAGCAAACAACCAAGGCACACTTGTAATATATGCGCGCCTGACAAATTAGAAAAATACTCGGTACCAATCTGTGGGAACAAATACATCTTTAACAACTAGCCGTTGAGCTCCCTGAATGGCGATCTCTCTTCAACAACTGCTCCATATCGTTTCATCATCGTTGGGGAAGGAAGATGGTGATCTTCATCAATGTTCTCTTTCCCACCACCGTCTGTTCCTTTTACTCCTTCACTAGAGTCCACGACAATATTTTCTAGCATTTTCATCAGTTGCATGTCCTCTGCAGAGAACTCACTAATTCTGTCACCAACCTGCACGAGAAAAGTCAGCACATTTTCTCTTTCGGCTGTCAGCTTCAGCACTTCTTCACTCAAACCTCTCTTCTCATACATCAGCTCATCAACCAATGCTTCTGAAGTTCTCAGCTTTCCCTCCATTGCTGTCATTACTTCTCTCATTTCCATCATTTGGGATTCTAGCTTATGCTCCAAGCAATAGATGTCAGCAGCTGCCATCTTCTCCTTCATTTCAGCATCCTTAAATCCTCTTTCTTCCACCATGTGTGTCAACACTGCGCCTTCAAGTTCTCTTCTCAGTGTTTCCTGTTCATAGAATTCAATCTGCCTCTTCAGATTTTCAGTAATGTCCACTTGCGAAAGAAGAGAAGCTTCTAACTCTTTCTTTAACATTTGATTCTCTTCGAGATCATCATTTAGCCGTTGAGCAATCGACTTCCATATCCACAACTCAAACTCAACTGCATTTCCCTCGCACATCTTCACTGCCAATTCAGAACTCAAACTGTCCAATGCACCACGGACTTCTTTCAGTTCGTCCTTCAATCCATTCTCCTTTAACATAGCTTCCTTTTGAAGGTCGTGCAGGGATTTCAGCGACTCCTCCAGCATTCCCTTGTGCCTCTCTACTTCCTTCTGCAACCCTAGTTTCTGCTCTTCAAGAACGCTGATAGACTCAATTCTCTCCCTTTCTTCAGCCAATTCAGAAGTTGTTTCATCCAATGCATCAGATATTTCTCTTATCATCTCCTGCAAGTTTGTCTCAGTTTGGAAAGCTTTCTCTTCAAAGCAACGTTGTTGATTGTAGGATTCCTCGACCATTTGCTTTTGTCTCTCGAGTTCCTTCTCTTGCAACAGAAGCTTCTCTTCAACACGATCGAGGGCCTCGGCCTTTGTAGACAGTGAAACTACCTTCTCACGCTCCTGGACCAATTCTGAATTCACCATGTCCAATTCATTGCAGAGTGCCTCAATTTTCTGCTGCAGATCCTTTTCTGACTGCAAAGCTTGTTCCTTGAAATGGAAATGGCATCCGGATGATTCCTCGAGCATCTCCCTGTACCTTGTAACCTCTTTCAGTGACTCCTCCAGCATTCCCTTATGCCTCTCCACTTCCTTCTGCAACCCTAGTTTCTGCTCTTCAAGAAGGCTGATGGACTCAATTCTCTCCCTTTCTTCAGCCAATTCAGAAGTTGTTTCATCCAATGCATCAGATATTTCTCTTATCATCTCCTGCAAGTTTGTCTCAGTTTGGAAAGCTTTCTCTTCCAAGCAACGTTGTTGATTGTAGGATTCCTCGACCATTTGCTTTTGTCTCTCGAGCTCCTTCTCTTGCAACAGAAGCTTCTCTTCAACACGATCGAGGGCCTCGGCCTTTGTAGACAGTGAAACTACCTTCTCACGCTCCTGTACCAATTCTGAATTCACCATGTCTAATTCATTGCAGAGTGTCTCAATTTTCTGCTGCAGATCTTTTTCTGCCTGCAAAGCTTGTTCCTTGAAATGGAAATGGCATCCGGATGATGCCTCGAGCATCTCCCTGTACCTTGCAACCTCTTTCTCCAGCACAAGCTTCTGCTCTTCGATAGGGATGATGTCCTCGACTCTCAACTGCAAAGACTCAACCTTTCTACGCTCTTCTTCGATTTCCATCTGTGCTTTAGCCAAGATAACATCCTTCATCTCCAGCTGCTTCATCAAGCTAGAAACTTCATCAACTTTCTCTGTGTTATGGATACTATTATCAGCTTCAGCCTTTCGTAGGTTGGATTGAGCCTCAGCTACTCCTGATTTCAACACCAATAATGCTATGGCAGCCTCCTCATTCTGCAACTTCATCTGCAGTAAAGCTGAGCGACAATTTTCCAGTTCGATCTCGAGCTCTTTCACCACTGCTTCACTGCTCTCCAGTGCAGACTGGTACTTGGCAACTTCTGCAGTCAATTTCTCCGCCTGAGAACTCCATTCAGCTTCTTTAGCCCTGAGAATCGCAGCACAATCTCTGTGCACCTGCTCCACACTTCTCAGCTTGTTCTTAAGTTTGGCTAGAGAAGAACCATTCCCAGCTTCCTGAATCTGAGCTTCTCGAAGCTCTTTGAGTGACTCCAGCAGCTCTTGATTCTCTTGCTCGAGCTTTCTTGACTGGTACTCAACTTCTTTCCAACGTGTCTCCTTTGTCAACAGTGAATGCCTGAGAGCTGCAATTTCATTGTCCCTTTGTGCGGTCAAGCATTCCAGCTGTGACTTTGCATCCTGGTAGTCAGTATAAACATTCTCGAAACGCTTCTTAAAGTCAGAAACCTCAACTTCTAGCGCTTTCCTTTGGCTCTCTTCACGTGCAAGGGCATGGTTGCACATCTTCAACTGGCTTTGAAGATCTTGAGAAATTCTTGTCTGAGAATCTAAGCTCTCCTGAAGTGAACAAATCTCATCAACTAACTTAGTCTTCTCCTGTTTCCACTCCTTTTCGTTTTCCTTGTACTCAAATCGAAGCTTCTTGTGCGCCTCTTCTAGGTGCTTGAACTGCTCACTTTTCCACTTGAGCTTCTCTTCAACCTTCATCTTCTGTTCTTCCAATGTCATCATCACATCATCCCTATCTCTTAGTGCTTTAGCTGCTTTGGCCTGCTTTTCAGCTTCCAAACACTTCTTCTCGGAAGTGGAAAGCATCCCTTTGAGACCTTCAATCTCTGCCCTAAGTACATTGATCTTCTGCTGTTGATCTATATCCTTCTCATTTGCCTCGTCTAGAGACGCCATCAGGTGTCTCTTCTCTTCCTCCCATTTCTGAAACTTGTCATCACAGGAAAATCGAAGCTTGTCGTTTGCTGAGCTCAGCCCTCTCACGATGGACTCCTTTTCATTCAACGTGCGTTGAATCTTTCCCACTTCATGGGTTAGCTCCTGAATCTGTCCTTCCTTTGCACTGATTTCGTGGGTTCGTGACTCGATCTCTGATTGTGCTGATTGAAGCTGGCGGATTTGATCATTGTGAGATCTCTTCAAGCTGTCAAACGACTGCGATTTGCTCTTCAAATCTACTCTCAGCCTCTCGATTTCTGCTTTGGCTTCATCCAGTTCTTCACAGAGTCTCTCCATTTCTTCACTTGTGGCCTGTGGGGGGTTTCTTGCTTTCGATCGTTCTGAACAAGAAAACTTATCAATTAACCATACAAATGGGGTAACGAAATGGATTCTACCTATTCTCTAATTACACAAATCTATGCACTTAATCCAGTTTGGATACCGAGAAAATCCATGAAAAAAATATCCAGCCACAGAAACCCTTTTTACCGGTCACGTTCATGGATTTCTAGGAAGCCAATCAACCAACGAAACCCATGTAACAAAATCGAAACAGATTGAACACAAGTAGGAAAACCTAAGAGGAGAATCTATGAAACCCCCAATAAACCCTAAGATGAATGAAGCAAGAAGACGACAAGTAAAAGCAATCATCTTTACGACAGAAATATAAGGGCAAGGGGCTTTCTTCTCAAATTTTTTCCCGGCAATCAAAGAACCCCATCAAAGAATCCAGAAACTAGTACCTGTTTGTGGAGATCAGGCGACCTTCGCCATGGCAGAATTACTTCTGGCGAAGAAAAACTGAGTGTTGAGAATCCGTAAAGAAAGCAGTGGGTGGGCGCGGGGAATGGGGTTTCAGAGTTCTAACTTCCTGGAGAGAGCCGTTAGAAGTGAGAGAGTGAGGGGAAGAGCGAGTTTGTTTGTTTGGATTTGAAATATTGCGAGTGTCAGTACTCGGTACTCGTTCGAACAACCGCTGAATCTGATTTGGTTTTCTTTGTTCGATTTAAAAAAAAAAAGTTGTGAAAAGTAGCCGTTACAATTGGAAATGGGTTGGGCTTTGAATGACTAAGTCAAGTCGGCCCAATATTCATTATCAAGTGGGCTAGCCTTACCGTTTTTTGCCTAGTTCATACAGTTATAGACCCTATAGTTTTTTTTTTGTTGGAATTATAGTCCCTATTGTTAATCGGAGTTCAGCAATATATATATCATAATATTAATATCACCGAAAATATAATTGTATCATCCAAAAGCTTAGAAGAAATATTGACATATATACTATATGAGTGAAATAGACAATTAAAAAATAATCCTGTTTTTAGAGTTAAGCTATGAAACTATCAAAAAAAAAAAAAACCAAATACCAAACAAATTAAAAGCTCTCAATAAAATCCTAAATTTTCGCATGGAAAAGGAAACAACTTTTCTCCGACTAGTAAAAGTGATATCGTCGCTCTAGTGTCTTAGCGAGCTATTCGCTGAGTGGATGATTATGTGAAATCTCAAAAGAAAATTGATCTCGATATGCATGTGTCTCGCCGACACTGTCCATGATGAAGCAAGCCATCGGATGAAGTCTTCATAATGAATAATAATTCACAGGTGATTGGTGGGTTAAGGTATGTGATATCGGTGGGGTTGTGCAAAACGAAGCTGAGAATATTGTTTTCAGTTTTTTCCGTCTTAAAAGAGTTGATGCAGTGTCCAAGAAGCAAAAGCAAGGGTTATATGAATGAGCATTTATGAAGCTGAGAAGAAAGGTCTTTAGCCTCTAATCGTCGAGACACATTGCCATAATCTCATTGTGAGATTGAAGAATGACGAGGAAGATAGAACGAAGCCGGGGAGATTCTATGATAAATTGTCGAGGATGCAATCGCGTCAAAAGGGAAGAGTTTTATCATCGGTCCGTGCTCAACAGCATACTGCACATCCAATTGTCCACCATTTAGTGTATTTGCGTAAGGACTAAAATTAGACTCTTTTTTATTCGAGAAACCACCTACGATAATTTGTAATCGCTATGTAAAGTCGGTTTAATCCAAAAATTCAAATCGATCACAAAAATTATTAAAAATAGCCAATCGACAACCAATCTCATGATACTACAATTATTATTATAATAAAACCTCATCATGCTACACAACAATTCGAATGGTGGGCTGATAGGTGGGGAGGTCCAGTTTTTATTTTATTAACTCATATATTATAAACACGAAAAAAAATCTTCATTTCCATTTCTTTAATACACCAGCAGCTGGTTGTTCAAACTCCTCTTATAAATTAATCCCATCAAAAGATATGTATATGTGACTCTGTATCTCTCGCATGAACATGCATGAAAGAACTAATGTCTCCAAAATAAAACAATTGGCAGCTTTTTATTCTTTGAGAAACAAGAAGAGACTCGTATCATACAATACAAAAGTGTGAAAAAGTGGTTGCCATAATGAGCCGGGAAAAGCCGTCTTTGGCTCAATGATCGTCCTTCTCCACCTGTACTCTCCCAATGAAGAGATCTGGACGACATGTGGAGTGATAGGATTTGCTCGTAGGCTTCTTTCATTTGAGAAATTGGGAAGAAAGTTTGAAGAGCAAGTTGACAGGCGGAATTCGCTCCTAGCCACCATCTCAGGGAGACAGCCATTGCTGCAAACGCAAAAAGGAAGAAAGGAAAAGAAAGAAACAGAATACCTCTAACTCCACACATTCCCCCCACTCCTTTCACTTTTCCTTTTTTGCTCTTCTTCTCTTTGATTTTCCACTTCTTTTCCATTCTCTCTCCACCTTAAACAAACAGAGACAAGAGGATGGATATTGGGTACCATGTCTATCTTAGATCTTGGATATCCTTCCCCTGATTTCATGATAATAGACAAAAGGAAAAGGAAGAGTAGTAGCTTCCATGTTCTTCATCATCCAAATGTAAACCACATTGATTCTTACAAAACAACAAACACTATGTGTTAACGTTTTCACAACCCAAAAAACCAGCAAACAAGGGCCTGTGAGGAAGAAGAACAAACAAGGGCCTGTGAGGAAGAAGAAGAAGATACACAATGTTGCAGAGAGCTGCAGGCAATGCTTATTCATGGTGGTGGGCCAGCCACATCAGAACCAAACAATCCAAATGGCTCGAGCAAAACCTTCAAGGTACCATAACCATTACAACCTTCATCCAAAATCACTCATCAAACTCGATACATTTCCTGAAAACATAACATGTTTTTTCTTTCTTTTTTCTGCAAATTCCACGCTGCATTGTTTCTTTCACCATTATTGCCTGAACATGTTAGTGTATGCTAAATTTTAGCTAATAATCATCCAACGTTGATTTCGGTATTATATGAAAACATGTTCCTTTGTAGTGATGAGAAATGTCTTGAAATGGATTTCTAGATATGCAAGAAAAGGTGCACAACGTGATGGCCCTGGTATCAGAAGATGGGGACTCCTTCGCGAAGAGGGCAGAAATGTACTACAAGAAACGGCCAGAGATCATCATCTTCGTCGAAGAATCCTACCGAGCTTACAGAGCATTAGCCGAGCGCTACGATCACATCTCCACCGAGCTTCAGAATGCCAACAACACCATCGCCTACGTCTTCCCCGAACAAGTCCAGATGGCAATGGAAGATGAAGACGACATCCCTTCCCCACGTTTCCTTAAGAAACTCCCCGCCGCCGGCGATCTCCCCAAGGGCAACATCCCAAAAGTGCCCAAGCTCCCCAAAGAGATAAAGGGCATGTTCCAATCCGCCACTAAAAAACTCCAACCCAAGAAATCGATCAAGGTGACAACCTCATCATCGTCTCCAGCTGCTCCAAAACCCACTATGTCGAAACCTGAAGCGTTCAAACAGATCGACAAGCTTCAGAAGCAGGTTCTGGTTTTACAGACAGAGAAAGAGTTTGTCAAGAGCTCGTATGAAAACGGGTTGGCGAAATATTGGGAAATTGATCAGCAGATTAGAGAGATTCAGGATAAAGCTTGCAGCTTGCAGGATGAATTCGGTGCCGAAACGGTGATCGATGATGATGAAGCACGGTCGGTGATGACGTCAGCTGCCCTGCAATCGTGCCAGGAGACTCTGGCGAAACTGGAGGAGAAGCAGGAAAAGTCGGCCGAGGAGGCTAAGAAGGAGAGGAAGAGGATTAAGGAAGCCCAGGAGAAGCTCAAGTCTCTTCTGAATCAAAACTCTTCTGGAGAAATTGATCAGGGAAAGGGGAGGAAGGAGGAGGAGAGCAGTTCCGATGTTGCAGCGGCAGCTGCTGCTGCCACAGAGGAAGAAGAAAAGGAGGAGATGAGAGCTTTGCAACAGCAGAGGCAGGAGATCGAGGTATTGAGGGAAAAGATAAAGAAGCATTTTGAGGCGAGTGCTGATTCATCTTTCACTGTTAGTGAGATGGCTGAAAAGATTGATGAGTTGGTGAACAAGGTGATTGGATTAGAAGCAGCGGTTTCTTCTCAATCTGCGTTGATTCAGAGGATGAAGGCTGAGACTGATGAGCTTAATGGTGAGATCCAGAGTTGCTTGGAAAGTGGTGATAAAGAGAAGATGGAGAATGAGAAGGTGGAGGAGTTGGAGAGGAAGCTGGAAGGGATTCAGAAGATGAATGAGGATGTTGAAAATCAAAGCACGAATCTACAGACGAATTTCATGGAAGCAAAGTGTAATCTTGATCATTTGCATGATAAGTTGGATAGCGTGAAGCCAGATGAGGAAGTTCAGACTCCACCAAGGCAGCAGTTTAAGAAAGCTCCCAAGTTCGAATCATCCCAACAGCAGCCATTTGTTAAGGGGAAGAACATAAGGAATGCAGTTGCTGAGTTTGATAACTCGGTGAAAGTAAGTGGCTTTTTTGTAGTGATTTCCTACTAAACCTCGTGGTGAATTGTTTGGTTATTAAGTCTGTGTGTCTGTATCTAATGTGGTTGTAGCAAGACAAAGAGAAAAGTCAGAGGGAGTTGAAGCAGCAACAAGTAGCTGATGAGATTAGGCAAGCAAGGGAGGCAAGGGAATCGAGGAAGAAGGTCAGAATTTCGGATAAGAAAAAGAAGGACAAGCCAAAGAAGGAAAAGGACAAGAAGTCCATGGAAGAAACTGCCAACGTGAAACAAGAAGTGGAACAAGTTGCAGAACAAGTAAAAAATGTTGCTGCAAATGTGAGGACAGAAGATCAAGGATATGTTGCTGAAACAACAGATGGAGATGTGAATAGAGGAGAGGAAATTGGACACGAGAAGAAACAAGAAGAGCACAAACCGAGCCATTCCGTTTCGATTGGTGAAATGTTGGGGGATACCGGAACAGAGGTAGAGAGAAAAGAACAA